GTTAAAGATATAAATAAAAATTCAAGTAGATGACACGAGAATTATTGTTTATATTGATAGATTATTTTCATATTTTTTTATAACTTGGAAAAAGGTTTTCATTAATGATTTATAACTACAGAGATTTAATATGAAAAATATATAAAATCTTTCAAAAACTATGAAAAATGATATAAATGTTATAATAATTGTATATATCATCAATGTAATAGCAATTCGCCTTAAGTTTTAATGACAAAAGTCGTAAAATCCAGACCCTTTGCATTCGCTTTTTATAAATACTGGAAATCAGCTCAATCAAAATATTTAGCACAGACACCGGATCCAACTCGATAATTGGTCGAGGTCAATACCCAATATTTGTATATAAGTACAATGCTAATTTGTTATTTATTTATTTTGTCCTACAGGGAGAATCCAGTATGGCACGTGTGCCCAATAAAGGCTTTTGTTGTTGTTGTATCATTAATGTAAACAGCAATTATATTTCTATGAAAAATAGACATTTCGGCCAGTTAGAGTTTTTTAAGTTTTATAAAAAACTCTAACTGGCCGAAGTGTCTATTTTTCATAGAAATATGAATGCCGGCCAGGCAGCCTTTATCTTTACGAGCAATTGTTTAAATTTTATAAAATTTTAACTATTTATGCGCTTAGTGTTACCTTTGACTTTAAATTATATATATATATATCTTATATATCTAGATGAGAGAGAGAGAGAGATATTTGTGTAATACTTTGTTGGAGCACATATCTCATAAATTTCTTAATTGCCTTTGAATAAAATAAATAAATAATGTAAATTATAAATAAAACAATAATTAAATGAAATAATCAAATTAAATATATATATCGTGATCAATATTATGAAAATGAATATATTTTACATGATTACTATTATAGACTTATCCTTAATCATAGTTTTGATAATGGCCATGTTTTGACTTTAGAGATCTCTTGTCTTCGAAGGCTGAGTACGCATGCGTAGTTCATTTTATTTTAATTGCATTTGCGTTGTGCGCACGCACAGTACTTTCTAGTATAGATGCATTGGTCATGTCTCTCTACACCGAAAGAGTGTATCGGTGATTACCAGCAATGTATATACGCCATGTTAGGATCGGCTGTATTTGACGTCTGTTCCTCATGTCAGAAGCGGCCATTTCTTTTGGATTTAAGTCAGTGGCCTGTTACTGGTAGTGCTGACGAAAGCAGACGCATTCTACTTGACCCAATCATTATGGATATCAAATCTCTTTTGATGGGCTTTACTCATTCCTACCAGACACCATCAAATTTCAATCTCTACAGGCTACATACCCTAATATGATTGAGTGAAGATAAGGAAGAGAGAAAAAGAAGATAGCTGATTACCTATTTTCATAATCATACCAATTTACCAATGTTTGGATCGTTTATGCTTCTCTTGGACTAAATATAATTATTATAATACGAATATTATAATAATTAAATTCGTATTAAAACCATATAATACGATATGAATTGATAAATGACTCATTTTGTTGCTATCGAGAGAGATTCAGGCTAAATCATGTCAATCAACAAAGAGATTATTGATTTTAAATTTTATCATTTCAAAATGAGAACCAAAATATTTTGCGTAAAATTATTTCCTAATAAAAGAATACAAATTGCAAAATTTAAAAATACTTTTTATATATTATTTTTTTTCCTAATTATCCAATATATACCTTTTTATTTAAAGGTTTATTTATGGATTGCTTTATTTTCAAAATATATATATGTTATGATGATTTTGTTTTGTTGTTGAAAAAGATAGAGAATTGAAGGTGCAGTCGTGAAAATAGGAAAGATAATTATTTACCCATCAATTAGTTTTTATTTTGAATTACTTGAAGTAAATTACACATAAAATTATTTTTCACGGTAATATAGAATTTATAAAATGAATCCTATATTCGTGAATTAAAAAATAGGTAGGGTTAACCATACATATTTACAGCCATAATCAAAGTGTTATATTCTAAATCTATGGTCTAAAATAAATGAATAGTCAATGTTTGAAAATAAAATATATGTTATTTTTTAATATTTGCATTTAGAATATATAATATATATATGTTTTTATTTTTATTTATGAACTCTAAAATATTTTTAATTTGTAATTTATATGTATATTCATTTACAAAATTTTCAGTATTCATATAAACTGTTAAAGGAGATAGGCTATTTATCTTCCATTGGTTAACTCCCAATATATTAGTGCCATTAAATGAAAAGGAATTAGACGCAAACAAAGTTCTAGATATAGGAGTTCAGTAAAGAGACGCCGAGCAAAGAGGTCCCTAATCCAAATAAATAGCAGTCGGCTACATCTCAGGGGACATTCAACACCGCACGCATGCCTTTTTGTCAAATTAACTTGGTTTAAACACTGTGTCGCTAAATTTATACTTAAGACAATCTGGTCTTTCAATTGTAGCTCTCCTACAAATATTTTATTAGGAAATGTAAATTATTTTAGTGAGAGTGTTTATTTATCAAATATAACATTCTCCGAATTCCCTTACTGTTTTTATTAAAATATTGAGAGCCAAGATAGTGGACATTTCGAATGCTGTGATAGAGATACATGGGGACATCTGAGGCTCTTCATTGGACACGACAACAACAAAATGTTGAGAAGACCTTGCTCATCAGTAGTGAATCCTCCCAGCGGTATTGCAATACCATCAGAACCTAACAATATTTGTATCATTGAAGAAAGAACAGTGTAAGAAATAGATTCATTTGAAAAAAAAAAATCGCGTTAAAATAGTTAATATTTATAAAAACAGATGGTACGCGCATGAATTATATGAAGAAAGGTTATTGATATTATAAAAATTCTGAATTATTTCATTTTATATATTCCATAAATTACGTGGATGATAGGTTTACGAGAATTAAATATCAGAAGATGAACAACCTTGTCGATATATGGCATCGAGCGCGCATACACTCTATATATTACATATTGTAACGTTTTCTATTTAGAAATAAGGGAGATAGTTACAATACTTTGTGTTTTAATATTAAATTTAATTATAACATGGTTAATCATAATATATAAACAAAACAAACTTTTGTAAATTTACAGAAAAAGTAATGTTGCCGATTACCTAACTATGAAAAATAAATCAAAGAATAATTAAATATTGCCACGTGGAAAATTAGGGATGACAAACTTCAGGATAACACAGCAATTTATTTAAGGCAAGAACCAAATATAAATGATTAAAGATTTATAAGCAATGAGGGAAGTTTACAGAGTAGCAAAATATAAACATAAAAATGATATTCTGTTAATAAAATAATAAATACTTTGTGTAGTCGTACTCTTCATTTTGACTATTTTAAACATGTTTATAATTTATATAAAAATATGTAATATTTTAAAAGTGTTTAAAAAAACTATAATTTTATTAAATAATGAATATGTAAAATAATAATACTTCACGATGTTTTATTTTAAAATGAATAATAATTTGTATATTTTTGATAACTCTGTGACCTAAAAATATAGAAGTGATTAGATACATAGTTAGTTCGTTGCTGGTAGATGTAAATATTAGCCATCATTTTAATTTATCAGTTGTGTTTAAATAAAAAATAATTAATTTGATTTAAAAAGGCTAAGGCTATTTTTTTAAAACATCTACCACACTTTGCTTCAATAATTTACATAAATAAATAAATACAAATCATGTTACAGATATATTTAATTTTAAGGAATATTTTCCACTCAAATTATAACTAAATTAAAATATTCTCTGCATCATTATATTAATCTTTTATCTGTTTCCACCCAATGCCTACAAACAAATATGCTCCTACATTTAATCTAAAGGTAAATAAATATTTAGAAATCCCATGAAAGCAAACCCTTTATCTCGAACTCCCCATTATTTATTAAATAACTTCCTCATTAAATTTAAATTGACTCTTAATCAAGCATTAATCCATGCTAATCTAAAATGACAAGGAGGGAAACCTATTTATTTAAATAACTATTAAAATATACATTGTTTTAATAAATTAAAATTGGTACTAGATTCATAAATGTACATCATTAATAAGGATGAATTCATTTATTTACCAGATTATATAGAATTCTCGTCAAGTATACTAACATTTATTAACTATTATAGACGCGTATGATTCTTTTAAAAAATTAAACAATTTCAACTGTAATTTATAATACAATATAATACGGCTTGTGATTGTAAAACGACATTTGAAAATTATCCCGCATGAGTTTTTTTTCAACGAAAAATCAAAATTTATTTTAAGGAGAAATAACGATTATTTCTAACCTTAGGGGTATGAATGGATGAATTGTGAAGAATAATGATAAACGGAAAAATAATCTGCCCGGTAAACGGAACACTGTGGGTTCGGTTCCCATCCCTGGATACTTTTATTTTTCCGTTTATCATTACTCTTCACAATTCATCCTTTCATACTTCATCCCTAAGGTTAGAAATAATCGTTTTTTCTCCTTAAAATAAATTTTGATTTTACGTTGAAAAGAAACTCATGCGGGATAATTTTCAAACTTCGTTCTACAATTTCTACTGGCTTCACTACAATTTAAAAATAATGGGAGTAAGGACAGTAGATTGTTTAATTTTTAAAAGAATCATACGCGTCTATAATAGTTTTGAATATTCATAACAGATGGCGTGCTATATAATGTATCATACTAATATTTATTAATTATTATATTTTAAGAGTGTTTAAGGGAATTTAAAATTATTTGTTGAACGAAGTTTGACAATTATACCGCAAATGTTTCTTTTGAACGAGAAATCGAAATATATTTTAAGAAGAAATAACGATTATTTCTAACCTTAGGGGTGAAGTATGAAAGGATGAATTGTGAAAAGTAATGTCAAACGGAAAATTAAGTGTCCAGGGATGGGAATTATATTGTAATATAAATTACTTTATATAATATTTACGAACGGAAAAATATTTCCAGGGTAGCCTAGTGGACATGGCATCTGCCCGGTAAGCGGAACACTGTGGGTTCGGTCCCATCCCTGGACATTTTATTTTTCCGTTTATCATTACTCTTCACAATTCATCCTCTCTCATACTTCATCCGTAAGGTTAGAAATAATCTTTATTTCTTCTTAAAATAAATTTCTATTTTTCGTTCAAAAGAAACATTTGAGGTATAATTGTCAAACTTCGTTCAACAATCCAAAGCCGCATAATATTGTATTATAAATTATTTATTTAATAATTTTCTAAAATCTAATTTGAATATCTACCAAACCTAATTCACTCAGTATACACTCGGAATGTTTATATTGTATAGATATGTATATATGGAATTATTATTTCTTTCTAATCTCAAGTATTTTAAAAGAATATCTATTTTTAGTGTATATTTTATATATATCAGAATTCCGTATGAAATGTTCTCACACTATTTTTTAAGTCATTCATAAGTGTGATATAGGAGTATATTAACAATATTCAAGGGTCACTCCAAAAGTACAAAGGTTTAATATGACAATGCAAGACCGCACACCTCAGCCCAAACATTAGACTTTCAGCCAACTCTGGTGTCCAATTAATCACCAATCCACCATATATTCATCAGACTTAGCACCTTGTGACCTTGTTTCCAAAGGTTATTGTTGAAAGGGATAAAATTTGACACTGATAATGAAGCACTACAAGCCTTTATCAATGCCGTAAATTCCATCCCCGAAGATGACTGGTGTAAGTTCTTCGATAATTGGTTTTCACGGATGAAATCTTGTATAGGTGCTAAGGGTGAATATTTTGAGAAACTCTGAAAATTTTAAATTTGCAGCTTTAATAAAAAAAAGTGATTGCAAAAACCTTTGGAGTGACCCTTGTAAAAAAATATATATATATTGTTCACATATATAACAGTTTTTTAAGGGAGGATGGAAATTATATACCCCCTATCATAAAAAGTGTCACCTTGCCCTTATAAAATGTATTATGGTGATGTGGCTTATTTTTTTATCATCACCACTACGTTTCATACTGGGATGATAAGTCAATTACATTGACTTAGAGCATTTTTAAAGATATGGGTCGCCACTTTTAGTACTTGATGTGTTTATATATATTTAAAATATATAATTAATCATTTAAAAATGCATATTTTGGATCGTATATTTTTATTTTCCAATATTTCGTATGGCAACTCGCCAAACTAATTCAGGGAACAAGATTGTTTTGAGATTCTTGCGTATCAACTCACGAATATGTACAACCGCTTTAAAATTTAAAATATCTAGCATCTCAAAACAATCTTGTTCCCCGAAGAAGTTTTGCGTGTTGCCATACGAAATATTGGAAAATAAAAGATATATGATCCAAAATAAGCATTTTTATATAATTAAATATATGGATTGCCTAATTTTAAAACATAATTAATCGTACATAGAAATAGGGGTGACTAAAAAGCGCTTCTTTCTTCAAAATTTCATATTACAATCAAATTTTGATTATAATATAAAAAGCGGCTTCTCACATCAAAGAATTTTCTACAACGCTAGTTTTGGCAAATTCAGTCAATTAAGACAACCTATATACCATTTGTTGATGTATCACGAAGTAAACACATGAACCTTCGTAACTAATTACATAGTATTGAAACCTCCACAGAGAACTATGCAAATTTTATTACAAAAATAATCCGAATGTCCCTACCGAAGGACTATGCAAATATGTTTAAAAGGAATCCGAATGTCCCTACTGAAATACTGTACAAATATGTTGAAAGGGGAATTCGAATTTCCCTACTGAAATACTGTACAAATATGTTGAAAGGGGAATTCGAATGTCCCTACTGAAATACTGTACAAATATGTTGAAAGGGGAATTCGAATGTCCCTACTGAAATACTGTACAAATATGTTGAAAGGGGAATCCGAGTATCCCTACTGAAGGACTATGCAAATATGTTCAAAAGGGAATACAAATATCCTGACTGAAGGACTATGCAAATTTGTTGAAAAAAAGAAATTGAATGTTCCTACTAAAAGACTATGCGAATAGGTTGAAAAGGGAATTCGAACGTCCCTATGGCAATCAAGGAGTTTAAACTGTAAAATTTTCAGTCTTTTTTCATCTCAATAATATCAGAATGCCATTTTTCTAGACATTTCAATAAAAAGGCAAGTATGAAAGAATTACCCAATATTATTAGAGTAAATATAACAATGTTTCAAGAACCTTAACATTAAAATGCATCATATTTTACTGAAGAATATCCAATAAATAATTGGAATTCCAATTTTCATCTCAATATTGTAGAGAAACATAGATCTACATTGTAAATCACCGCTCCACTTGCGAACAGTGAGGGATAACAAGAAAATTAAGAAGGCGTTAGAACCTCACAAAACTTAAACAAATATATTAATGAACTTGTTGTCAAGTGTCGCCTGCCTAAAATTAACCATCCAATCGCGAGAAGGCCTTCCCCTGGGGATTAAGCCTAATTTGTTTTCGGTTGGGGGCATCGTCTGCATACGAAATCTGCTCTAGAGTCGATGAACATATTTGAGGAAGAGCTTCTAAGGTAGCGAGGAGTTTATCTTGACATCCGAAGCTTTTTGAAACACACTACGTTCTAAATTGAATATGTACATTGTTCAAATATATTATTACATTTGGTGTTGACACAAAATTTAATGGTAATAATCGTGATATTTAGTAATATTGTGTTGCTTAAATAATATATTCGAAAAAGGTAAAATAAAATTCAGGAAAAGGGTTTCTCCTAATTCGGTTTTGCAAACTTCCGAGCAAATATACTGCTCTTCAACGGGAAAATACTTTATGTATAATCTTTAAATGATCTTTATACAAAAATAATTGAAATTTTGTTTTTGGATTTTTTGTATAAAGACAATTTAAAGATTGTATATAAAGTATTTGTCCGTTGAAGAGAAGTATATTTTCTCGAAAGCTTGCAAAACCAAAATTAAAATAAACCTTTTTCCTGAATTTTATGTTTTCTCTGTTCAAATAATTTCTGGGTAACTCTTTCTCATATATAATCTATAAAATACAAATTTATATTTATTTGTTAGCAATTACTTTAAATTTATATAGCACGCAGGTATTAATTACACTGGTCAACAAGATTTTTGCACAAGAGAACCTGATTATGTTTCTAGTGTAACTTTTCATGCTGAACTCAAAAATCTAATCAGAAATTTCCCATCACCTATGGTTTTTGCGTGACGGTCGTTTTTTAGTATTGGGATAAATACACTAAAAATTGCAAACAATGTCACGTAACTGGTTTATCAAAAAATATTTTTCTTTGTCCACAAAGAAATAGCATCTTATCTACATGTCCTGAATCCAAATATACCATTAGGTTTTTTTCTATTACACAATATTTCTGAGATACACCTACTTGAATTTGGAAATATTGTTAATATATACGCATATATGAACGAAACATATTTATTATTGAAAAGCAGTGACAGTGGATTTTCTTCTATACTTTGCTTGTGGTAGATCCCTCTTGAGTGCCCAGCAGTCGTCGGCAAGCATAGCGGGACTCCATTTAACTTGGTACCGCTTCTCCATGCTTGATATAGCTTGATGAAACCTCTCACCATGCTCATCGCTAACTGCGCCAAGATTGTCTGGAAAGAAATCTAGATGTGAATGCAGGAAATGGATCTTGAGGGACATGTTACATCCCAGTGCCTTGTAGGAAAGCAACAGATCATAAACTATGTCTCGGTAATTTTCAACCTTGACACTTCCTAAGAAGTTTTTGCAAACGTTTCTAAAGGAATTCCATGCTGCTGCTTCAACTTCATTCAAACTATTTTAAAAATTCCCATCCTACTGCAATTCGCCAATCTGAGGTCCAACGAAAATGCCTTCTTTAATCTTCGCTTCACTTATACTAGAAAATTTTTGTTTTAGGTAGGCAAATCCACTGGCATTTCGATCCATTGCCTTGACAAAGTTCTTCATTAATCCCAGTTTAATATATAATGGTGGTAAGTAAATATTTTCTGAATCGATCAGGGGTAGATTTGCAATATTTTTATATCCTGGAGTAAAGATTTTACGGTTTGGCCAGATTTTTTTAATGTAATGCCTTTCCCTACCTCTGCTATCCCACTCACACAGAAAACAACAAAATTTTGTATATCCAAGCTGTAATCCACGCAAGAGAGCAACGACTTTCAAATCGCTGCATATTTTCCAACCGTATCTTTCATATTCTATCTTTTTCAAAAGCAGTTTCATGTTTTCGTAAGTCTCTTTCATGTTGGATGCATGTATTTATCCCAATACTAAAAAAAGATCGTCAGGCAAAAACCATGGGTGATGGGAAATTTCTGATTAGATTTCTGAGTTCAGCATGAAAAGTTACACTAGAAACACCATCAGGTTCTCTTGTGCAAAAAAAAAAGTTTTTTTTGTAGACCTGTGTTATCGAAAAAATACACATCATATGTTTTTATTCCCATTCTTCTTTTATTTCCCATCGCCTATTTTATATTCACGCTATTCTATGAGTAGCATTATCATTATCTGACCTCATAATATTCAAATTAGTTCGATATTGAACTAATTTTTATAGTTTTTGATTATTCCCTGTGTTAATATACATATTCAGTACCTTTATGTAAAAATATTTCAAAGTTTTATTTATTATATATATTGCAAAGGAAAAAGAGTAAAAAACATGTTTATAATAATTTATACACAAGGGTACAACTATTAATATTGATATATATATCATTAAAAATATTTAATATCAAAAGAACTTATTGATAGCAAGTAACATATCTGAATATGCACTTATCTGTCGCTTTATTTAGAGGGGAGTTTAAGAAACGTTGCTGTAAAATACACTACATTACACTAAATTTGAAAAACTAAGAATTAGTGGACAAATTCTTGTGAAAATTTGCATAAAGAGAACCAAATCAACCAGCACGTATCATCCACCACACACGTATATTTTCAAAATTTTGTTTTACAAACAGAAATAATGTTATATATTTTTCTCTCAATA